ATTTGTTATCGATCCTTATCAACTTTTGTAGTTCGCAAACTTGTGCGGAGGATTGAGAGCTGTGCATGGGTTACTAGGTGAGCATGCTAATTATGTAAATTCATCTAGTGAGCTTGGCTCCCACAGTCTTATCTGGCACGTTGCCTTTCAAGAACTTGAAATTTTATTCTTCAAAAGATTAGACATCGATGTATGCACATGCTCATGCCGTAATGAGTCGACGTTTCATAGTCTGTCGATTTCATCTCAACTTGAGCCCTACCCACGTACATCCCTTGTGAGCAGGGGAGGAAAGCTAAGAAGGGAAGCTTCCGCTGCTCATGTGTGCATTCTTTTGTGCTATCTATCATATGAGGGTTCTTACACCTTAATATCTGAGCATAACGGATAGTAGGACATTGCAGTATTGTGTCATCTCCTAGGCAGGGCTCGGCACAGGTGGCTTACCGGACAAGCTGGATATCGTTTTGGAGGTTAAAAGCAAAGGGGATATCGTTTTTGCGGAAGAGCATACCGCTGTCTTTCGATCTTGCCGGCACGCTGCCGGCACGCCGGCAGCACGATTTCCCAAACAAACAAAGGGCTTGTTTACATCGAAGTGAAAATGAAATGACACCAAAATGGGTGTGTAGATGGGCAATGGGGGTGTAATACTATGTGCAAAAAATTATGAAAAAGTTATGTGAATTGAAGTCGCGGCAAACTTTTTTCGGAGTTTGTTGGCTTTACAGCCACCTGGACAGCCACCTGAGGTGGCTGTAAAATGAAAAAGTCATAAATTTCCCTTCCCTCGCATAATTTTCTCACATGTTTTACATAAATTTGTTCTACATCAAAAACCCAACCAACGAGTTCTTAAATCTCCCCAAACCTCCTCCTCCTCGCCTAGTTACAGCCCTCCAAAAATTTTGTATGTCGACAGCAAGCCTGCCCTAAGCGCGCAATGGTGCGCGCCGGACACAGTATGCCGCCAATTCCGAGATTGTGAACGTTTTTTTTTCCGTTTGCGCAATGCTGTATTATGTTTTGCTCGATTATTTTTTGTGTTGCTTGTTTCATCACTCATGATCTCGTCATGGGTGATGTCGTTTTTTGGTGTCGAAGTCTAAGGGGACTTCGTTTTTGAAAGATTGAAAAAGCCACCTCATGCCGAGCCCTGCTCCTAGGAGATCCTCAGGGGATTACTCTTAATTCTCCAGAGTTGTCTATTTTTTCATAAACGCATGAAAATGTCGTAAAGTTATACTGAGGATCTGTGAAAGCACTACTGGTGTCATGCCCAACAATGCTATAATAGAGCCTGATACAACTTTGAGACGTTTTCATCATGAAAAGATACAGGGCTTATCAATTACAGTGTCGGTGCACCAGCATCTCCACTGCCGCGCGGGGCTCTGCACTTCTTCCACGGACATGCTCTATAATCATTTTCAATCAATTGAAGCTCCGCCTTTCCCACGTTCATGGTGGTAAATTGATCAGAAAGCATGTTTGCCACAGAGGCGCGGAGTCTAGGCGAGGCGGTCGCGTGGCACCCGACACTGCAGTTGATAAGCCCTGTGGATGGCTCTGAAAGCAAGGGCTAATCCTCTGGTTCACCCCCTAGAAAACACACAAAACAATGAAAATTGAAGCTTCAAAGCTTTAAAGCTTCATATGGAAGCTCCATATTGGGTTACACGCTGTCTTTTTATCCGTAAGTATTTCCACTATCTTTCACTTTCATATATTGAGCAGGAGCAAAAAGCTGTACGAGCCGCATTTTCCAGTTTTTGTAAAATCCCCTGATAATCCCTGGTAGCCGACCGTCTTTTCTTCAAAGTCATTCTTCTTTCTTTGGAGTTAACGAAAATCTTCCAGAGTTGTACTGATTATCTAACTCAACAGTGCTAAGCATGTTGCTGATAAATGAGTTTTTAAAAAATCAAATTATTCGATAAACCCCTACTTTCGACTTGTGGTTCATCGTAAATTTCATGACTCTGATACATCATTTGATTTTATCAGCAACATGCTAAGCACTGTTGGGTTAGATAATCTGTGCAACCTTGGAAGCTTTTCGTTAACTTCGAAAAAAGAAAAAAGGCTTTGAAGAAAAGACCGTCGGCCGCCAGGGATCATACAAAAAACTGGGAAATGCGGCTTGTACAGCTTCTCGCTCCTGTCCAATATGTTCGTAGTGAAGAAAGGTAGGAATACTTACGGGTAGGTGTACAGCGTGAAATTCAGATATCTGAAGCTTCAGGATATGAAGCTTTTTCTTAAAGCTGCGATCCCCTCTCCGGCAGGGATGTTAGTGCATGCGATTCAGGTATCGCGGTGCGAAAAATTTCATAAGACAGTTACACAATGTATTTCCGCCCACCGACTTCACTTATAATACACTTTTGAGCTGATGAATGATCTCTGCTTTGTACTTTCTACGTTCTCTTTCATTATTCTTTTTGTTGTTTTGGTTGATGTCTTATATCTGCAGTATTTTTTTTATGTAATTCTATCTTTAACTGATATCGAAACCTATTCACTCAATCGATCCCTCAAGATTTCTTGTGATTATAAATATAGTGGCATAAATAATATTAAGTCTGATAGCGTTTTTCAATAAATCTATTTTTGAGTTTTATTTAGTGCTTGAGCTGACCTGAGTGGACTTTAACGAATATAGTTGGTTTTTAGGTTATGCAGCTGATTACAATGAGGCAATGTTGAGAATCCATAAAAATACCATTTTTGAAAGTACTCGTAATATTTGTTTGGAAAAGTTTTGCAATGTAAACGAGTTAGCGCCGGACGGTCCACGAGCCTTCCTCGATTTCCTGCGGAATCCAAGGCCCAACTGCCTAAGCAATAGTCCCATAAACTTCAAATATGAGTTGCGGACATCTCTGTCATATCAACAAACATTCAGAAAACATTCGGGATGGTTTGATCAGATGCCAGGCTCACGATCAAATCAAAATGAGTGCAAGTTAAGCATTGTAGCGAGTAATAACTTGGTAAAAAAAATCCAGCAACACTGAAAAATAATAACAAAATCTTCGTAAAAATATCCCTAATGGCGGAAGCGTTTCTCAAAGAATTTGTCCCGGACTACGAATGAGTTCCAGAAGTTACGAAGATTGTTAAAGTTTAATAAAAATTAGAAATGACCCCAAGCCTTGCGCAGAGAGTCGCGCACGGAAATGCTGGTTCATCTGAAAAAAAAATGACTTTTAACATCTGCGATATTGTCAGTACTCTTCTGACTGTCTCATAAGGAACAGACTGATATATGATGTTAGAGGGTTGCAAGAATTCGCGCAGATCTCTAGTCAGAGCCCCTATGCACGTCTCGCCCTGCTCATTCCTCTTTGTTCGTACCTCCACTCATAGCGCGCTGCCTCGCTGCCCCGCTCCACGGGGTCTTTGCCGCTGCTATCCCTTTCACCTTTGGTTCACTCAATAGCAAATTGCATATCATCTTGTAGCTCTTAGTCTCTCTTGATATCCTGCCAACATCGCCGAACTCTGTTCTCGATACGAGAAATCTAGGAAAAATTGGGTTTTATTCTCTCGTTTTACTTCAGTTCTGTTCTATTAACGCGGTTTTTGGGGTGCGTTTGGTAGATTTTGATCTGTCTCCTATTTAGACAACATCGCCGAGCTTACTTTTCTGACTGTGGCGAAACCCTCATATTTTAGAAAAAGTGCCGAAGTGCGTTTTTGCATCGTTCTTTTTTTGGGATAAGTTTATTTTTAGCTTAGAGATTTCCTTAGAGTAATGAGCAAAACAACGAAACAACGTCGCCGAGAACAAAAACAACAAGAAGGGAGCAAAATCAAAGGACGCATCATAGATCAAATCGCCTTTGACGTGGTCTATGAAACGAAACTTCCCGTTTTACAACTAACTTGTCTGTCTTCTTCTTAGCGAGTGCCACTTCAAACCCCGAATGCCTTTGAGACTATTGCAACAAAAAAATAGAGATTAGCTTTCCCTTCTCCATTAGTTTTGAGAAGGCGGTCAACCGAAGACCTGTGTTTCAAACACCGCCAAAATTAAGAATCTAAATATTGTCGTAGCGCTTTTACATGGTTTTAAACAGTTTCTTTTTGTTTTATTCATTTACATCTCTTCTTCTTTGATTTTATTGTAACAGCCATCATTCTTCAAGGGTGGCTAATATTCAAATAATCTTCACTTTCCAAGCTCTGTCTCTAGAATACTGAATATATGAATTACAACCAATCTCGTAATTACACCGGTTTGACAATGAGATGCAGACACTTTTGCAGATGTTTAGAAGCTCAATTTACATCTCAGTAGTGTTACTGACTACGATTACGGGAACATGCAATCTCCGATGACTAGTGCTTGCATAAATACACTCGTGGAAGCGGTGATCGTGCATCCAAAACTATTTATTCGTGCCGAAACATCGAATTTTTGCCTCAAATTGAGCAGGTTATAATTATGTATCTACTAGCATCAGTGGATGTGAATCACGTTAGAAGATAGAACATGACAATGTGAAGCATCACATGCAATATAACTACACCATTGAGGCAAATTCCGGACCTAATAAAAACTAAGCTAATTGAGTTTTCACAATTAGCGCTTCTATGCTCATCGAAAAATTCGTTGTTATCGAAAAAATTGACCAGTACTGTGGATTCACTCGTTAGTCAACACCCGTTTTTCTCCTGATCTATATAAATAAGACGATGCCCATACTGGAATCAAATCTCAATGAAGCTTGATGGGAGAGGCAAACCAGTATGAACTATACAGGGATTGAAGAAAACTGTTGCTAGCAAGATAAATTGCAAAATATTTTTTTGGCAATAATTCGCCCCTCTAGAGCTTAACGCACACAAAAAGAAAGGGAGAAGCTAGATGCTGCATAAGTGTATTTAAGTTTGGAAGATATCTTTGTACTGGTTTGAGTAGCGGTACTCAAGAACGGCAGTTGAAGATATAGGAGTATTCTGAGTAGATAATTTGAATTTAAACCCATCACCACTGTAAGCGATCTCCGTTCCATCGGACTTTGACGACAGGGCTGAGGAGCGAACGGATTGCACAGGAGACGTTAGCATTGCCTGTATACGCCTAGCCTTTCTCTGCAGCTCTTTTATCGACTTTATTTGACTTGAGTCGATGCTGAATGAGGTACTTGGGTAAAGAAAATATGAGGACCGTCCTTTAGCAAACCGACCTTGACAGCTTTGTCTGAACTCGTCGCTCGTGTTTTTCGACATGTGATTGAGTGGATACCTGAAGCATACACATGTCTGCATTCCTTTTCATCAACATACTAGATAAGCTTAACCTCCGTTGTTTTGGTGGTATTCCGGGCTATATCTGAGTTGCCTGTCTAAACAGCCGTTGAAATAGTCGAAGTCAACATAAGGATTAGGACTCACTTGGACGTGCACACTTCTCAAAAACCGTATTCCACTTCGCTGCCTATCGTCCGATGGCAATTTCAGTTTCGCTTCTGCAGTTTTTCGGCCGACGGGTCCACTGACGTCGTTTTTCCTATATTCCACTTTCTTTTCTAAGTATTCAATACGTAAAAAATCAATCATATCATTTGGCGGTGCTGCTGTCGCGATTAGCGATGCGCGTGCTCCCCAAAGTAATCAGTTGTCCCGCGTTATCCGGCGATGATTGCGGTAAGGTGCGTGTTGCCGCAATCGCCTCTAGCCACCCCTGTGGGAACGCAGCCAACAAAACGGCTAGCCCTTCCCATTCGTTTCCTATTGATTACTTTTCGTATGTAATTTTGATTCAATCTTGCATCGTTTTGCCTTAAAGGCAGTGGGTCGGCAGAATGAGACCCGTGACAAAACAAGGTTACAGGGTAGGAGCCCCATAATGGAACTTATAGGCCAAAGCTCGGTCTTTCTCTGCCGCTTCTAACCCCCGTAATTTCAAAGCGAAAGCAGCGCACATCTCCTGTCCTCTCCGAACCCGCCCACCCCATGGACGAGTGACTTCCACGGTCAGAGCGCGCAGCCGCAATGCTATAAGCATGAGGTCCCGCAACGACTCTGCGTCTTCGCCATGACGCGCTTCGCGTTCACTCGTCCGTGGGGTGGGCGGGTTCGGAGAGGACAGGAGATGAGCGCTGCTTTTGTTTTGAAATTTCGTGGATTAGAAGTGGCAGAGAAAGGCCGAACTTTGGCCCATAGGTTCCATTATGGGGTATGGGCTCAAAACAAATCAAAACAAAGCAAAACAAGGTCACAGGGCTCCTACCCTGTGACCTTGTTTTGCCACGGGTCTCATTCTGCCGACCCACTGCATTTAAAGGCATGCCCGAGTAAAAATTAGTTCTAATTTTAGGTTGCCTGGGGTTACCCGCCGTAAGCTGAATTGAATATCACGGTAGAGAGCGAGAAACGGTTAAAAAATGCGCTTCCTAAAGCCTTACAGCTTGAATTCAGTAAAACAACTCCCGCCAGGCTGAGACGAAAAACCGCTGCGGGACCAACAGCTTTTTGTAACCTATAATCTGCTAGAACAAAGAATAATCTTTGTATATGAGGAAGAGCAAGGCATATGGTACTAACCTAGGTACCAGGCGGCGTGGCAGGAGTTCCCAAAGCTTAGCCGCTTTTCCTCGCAGGGGTACTTGGCACCTCCAGAAATCCCTTGAAGGACATCACACCTTCACGGGGCCAAGGGGAGGCTCCGCCCATCACTCCTCCGTTTAGGTGCCCTCATTTTGAAATGTGTACACGCAATATAAGACGTGCACTGTATTTTGAGGATAATATAATAGAACAGAAACCGAGAAACAAAAAAGAAACTTATAGGTTTCTGTAAGGTTTTAGAATTTGCAAATGACTGCAGCTGAATTTCAGCCTTTCAGAATAGGTCCTTCTAATGTCGAAGGCTTGGGTTTTCAAACTTTTAATGCTATTACTTCAGTCAGATGACAATTGATCAACCAGTCCTCCAATGTTTTGAATGACCGGGTTTTCTACTCAAAAATTCTGTGCAATTTTTCTTCTCTGAGAATGATGCTCAAATGCTCTTTTTCAAAAGGATGGCGTATCAGAAGTTTCCCAGCCGCCTCACTTGATGAATGGTAACGATGTCTTTCGTTTTTTCTCCATTTCTCTCTCATTATCTCAATACCTGAATCCAAGTTCTCGCTGCTTGCACACCTCACAATGAGTCCAGTAAATAGGTGGAGCAACGGGCGGGGCCTGACCTCTGAGGCACGGAGTGCTAGAACCCTTCTGGGTGCGAACGCTGGTGTGAAGTTGGTGCGAGGAAAGGTGCTAGGAACTCCTGCACGCCCTCCTAGGTACCAACTTTCACTTTCCCTCTTTAATAATTCAGGGAGGTAAATGGCAAAGGAAGGATACTCAGACAATTGCATCGGAAAGTTCGCGGCCTCAAAGCGTGTTACATGGCGCGCCGCGGCCCTTAAAATTTCAGCCGCACACGCCGCGGCCCATGCATATTTTACCGGGAACGCCGCGGCCAAAGTTGAAATCGGGAAGAGATTACCGGGAAGGTCGCGGCCCAACCACTTCGCTCGGTGGGCCGCGGGCTCTATCAAAGGCCGCACTTCTTACACGCTGTAGTTTAAGGCGCAACCCTCCTGAGGTACGTCGCAGCGATGAGGCTACCCTAAGTTCTTTATTAGGCTGGGTATCGCTTCTCGGACTTGGTCCTATCTGACAGAGTTGAGTTTTTATGCTGATGAAATAAACTTCAGCAGTCGGATGAGTAATATCTACGACATTAGATGATGTCGACAGATGAGTTAACAAGTTGCTCAATTTGTGCTTAAGTCGTTGTAAAGAAAGACACGCCAAAAGATTTTTCACTCTTCCTAGGCCTCAGCATGCTAATCGGGTCAACTATCGGGCGCTTACAGGGTGCACCGCGGTCACTTATCGGGTCCAATTTCGTTTATACCGGGCAGCTCTCGGCATGGATGATTGATGGTCGAGCAAGCACCCGCGAACTTCCCGATGCGATTGTCTGAGTACCATAGCTAGGACAACAATGCAAAGAATACATTAGCTCAAACAGCACTACAGCTGAAGTGGGAGGGGAACGCGAGTTGAGTTCTACTTTCAGATGTACAAGCTGCACCCTAATTGCTCTAAATGCGAATGCACCAAAAGAATCCGCGTTTCATGGAAAGTATTGAAGGCAGTGTCCGCACAAGGTTGGGGCTTTTCGTATTTCCTGCCAAGTGAAAGTGGGCCCCTATCGAACACGCCATCGCGCAAGTACGAAGCCATAACACTTGAGTAGAAGCCGAAAACACGGTCTTGAATTATGGATCACGTTCTGGTGGAGAGCCTCACCTACCTACAGACCTGCTTTGCGCAACATACGCATGTCAGTGCAGATGGGTGTAGGCCTTTTAAACCTTCTCCTTCCGCGACGGCTCTGAGAGATTAGCGATAATTCGAGGTCATCCGATTGGTCGTTTCTCGGTTGCAAGCGGCTGATGGAGCAGGTGAGTTGCGGAAGCGGAAGGAGCCCCACCTCGGAGTGACTTGCTCCATAGTGAGATTTTGGAGAAAAGATTAGCTTTATTACTCTACGTTGAATCGTCTGCCACTTTCTACTGTGGTATGTTTCCAATTATAAAACACTTTCAATGTCTTTTTCAACTTCCCATTCTGTACAGATTTTTTCCAATGTGTGTTGATTGCATGCGCTACTCTCCTATGCTTATCCTTCCAGCATCATCTTCACATTAAATTATAATAAGTTGTGTCCTCGCCAAATATGCGTGATCTCCTCCAATTGACGAAGTAATCTACGCGATTTTTGGTGGTGTTTTTCTTTGCTGTTGGATTATATTTTTATAATATTATCAAATTTCCATATGCATGTTCGTAATTTTTTTTAGCCAAGATAATGATAACTCTCTGAAAAACCTCATAACACTGAGCTATAGAGAAATCCGCATCTGATAATAAAATTGGGATAGATTACCACTTTGTGTTTGACCTTTTTCAAAAGTTAATACGCAAATTTGACTACGTGGGCTCTCCATAAAAACAGCAAGCAGCTCATATTAGCATAAAGACGCGACGATGCATGACGCTATAAGGATTGAGCACATGTAGAAGTTTTGAGTGGAAAAAGCAACAAAACTTAGTGGAAAAGTTTTCAGGAGAAGTGTGAAAAGTTTGTTTCTGGGATCGTGAAACTAAAATGACTCCGAAAGTGTATCTTGAACCAAGAGACATTAATATATAAAGAAACGTAAGCGCAATTCAAAAATGTGCAAATAGCAGGAAATCGCGTGGCGGACCCGAGGCGCGCGCATGCTACTAACACCTTCAATTACTGGTTCACTAGTACCTGTAAGATCTATGGTCCAATGTTTGATATTTAGCGGGTGGTAAATATTGAGATGATGCATAATTCCTGCAAACAGACCTCAATAATCCGGAGTAATCCTATATCCCAAATAGGACTCGATACATCATTAGATAGATTAAACCTAGCTCTACAAGATAGTGCTTAAAGTTTTACAGCAGCTTTGATCCAAGCGGCAAACGTCGGAAAGTTATGCACACTTGTTGTTACCTTGGCCAAAGCATTGAATTTTTCACTCAAAAAATTCCTACAACTTCCCTCCCACAAGCGCTTTGCTGATAGCATAAAAACAGATTTGGAATCAGGGTTTTTGCTCTATAAGACAGCATATTCATATGAAAACGTCACTTCGACCAAGTATCCCTCCCTTGTAAGACGCGCAAGATCATGTAGAATACATCGGGTCCTACGGCATAGCTGCTGCGAGCATTTCGCGGAAAGCTGCGGGCCCATCGAGCGACCTTACTTCATTTTTCCAAGCGACGCTCCAACTGCTTCACTGCTGAAGAGCTCGTATTGTTCCAATTCCAGTAAGCTCTCTGTTTGGTCACTTAGTGTGCCCATTGTTTGAGTATCGGTATCAGAGTCCACTTCTTCAACCACGTAGATGCTAGTGACTTCCGGCTGTATGCCGGTTGACGTTACTCTGCAAAAGTGATGGCGTTATGATGTAATGCCAGAGTGCGTTAAAGACATACTCCGGTTTTGATGTACCACAGATAATGCATTTGTCACCAATTTCTATCTGAAAAAATCAGTTATTGAAGAGATACTTGTGCACATCTGACAAACTCCAAAACGCAGAGTTTACCTGTTGCTCAGTTGCTGTTGAGACCGTCAAAGTTTTTATCCTGTTCGAACTATTTCCTTGCTCCAGGGTCTAAACATTATGTTTCAATGCATCCATATACTTGGGCGTATAGTGATTTGAAACGCGGTAAACTTTTGAGAGAGCTTGCCTGACAGGAAGTTTCCACTGTTTGTTTCACTTTCTGAGACTCACGGGATGATGTTCTTTTGTAGGACATGTCAGAATTGACCTCAAAGAAGATGTGATGCTAGGCAAATCAGTCTATGGAGAGCATCGTGCCTTCTTACCTCAGCTTTTTGGATGAGTTGGTTGAGCCTCTGCATTTCCTTTCTCTCCTCGTCAGCTTTCTTTTCAGCAGCCTCAATGAGTTTTATTTACTTTAATCTTAGCAAAATGCTTTGACTGTACCCGCTCAATGTAATTATCGAAATCTTCTTTGTTAGCACTGGCGAACGCAGGCATGCCCGTTCCAGGATCAAGGTGCGTGAGCACGGCAGGGGGATCGATGCCCTTAAAAATTGTTTGTAGAATTATTCAATGGCAAATTCGCACCACTAACTTTTGCTTCGCAGTCTTCTTTGAAACGAGTCATGACCTTCGCTCCTCGTTCTTTGCTGAAGCACTTTGTTTATGCAAGAAGTCAAAGTGAAAAAACAGTGCACTGAAGGCTAGTGAGAAAGCAACCTGATCAGAGGCATAAGAAATCTGGCCTTTCCCTTGAAGCCAGCCATCATTCCCTTTTCCGCGTTCGGATCACCATTTTTGACAGCTTCCATGTAGTCCTAGAAGAGCATCGCTCAGTAAGAAACAACAGTATAATGCCGTTAGTACCTGCAGCATTTTCTTCAGCAGAGCCATGTACATTAGTTCCAGCTTTTCCCTCACAACGTCAATGCATACCGAAACCATTGAGAGACCTACGATAACTACACCAAAGGTGCCTATCATGTATTCAGGATGTGCTGGTGTTACGTCGCCAAGACCTCAATTTGCTGAATTTTGTTAAGTGTGAAAATGAGACAATCACGTTAGAAACGGCTTCACCTATAGTGCTACTTGATATGAAAAAGAAGTATATACTGGTAAAATACGTCCAGTCTTCCCAGATGCAGAATACAGCTGCAGCGAGCATAATCCATCCAACTGTTGCTGAATTATGAACAAAAATTACGCACTTGCAGTTCTCAAAAAGGCTTCTTCCTCCCTCTATTCTATTATAGAATAATTGCCAAAACTTTTATGAGTGGTATAAATTGTTACCTTAGCCCATTTCTACAAGAAGGCTTCATCAGTCAGATGAGTGATTAGTGCTCTACGTAACATTACCGCGCAGAAAGTCATGGGTTCGACTCCACCCTGAGTCCATTTTCTGCGCCAAACAATTCTATTTCCAATCCTAGCGTCAGGTTGCCCTTTCAAAGGGATGCGACAAGCTCTGAGAAACATCCGTTGCATCAAAAACGCAGACATGTCTCATAAAGAATCTTGAGTAAAAGCTAGGACGTCCTCCGGAAGCGATGCACGGTCGAGCCCAACGAATGCGCATACTGAGCGAGGGTTACTGTCTTAGCAAGGTGAACGGGAACGGCTAGAGCGGCTAGATCACTAAAGGCAACAATCCAAGGAATCGCAGATTCTCTTTAGCGACCATCAATATGGGTACACTCAACTCTCGTTTTCGAGAGTTAGCAGATCTTTTAAAGAGACGGCGAATCGATGTAGCCTGCATACAGGAAACGAAGTGGAGCGGGGCAAACACGACATCGGAGAGGGGTACAAGCTCCTTTACAACAGGGCCATCTGCACCGGAAACGGGGTTGGTACAGCTGTTTCGAAGACTCTAAGGAGCAATATATTAGGTCGTGTAATAAGTTCTGTCTCATTTTTTGTTTTAGTTTTTTCTTGACAACACTACTATATTTGAGATAAAGTGTATATGCTTTTGAAAGCTCTAAGTCTGCTCTGCAGGCTCATATGCATCATTCCCCAACATAGATGGAAACTGAAAAAGATTTTTATTATTGAAACAAAATATCCAAAGAGCCGAAAAATCAATTTTCGACATCTTTTTCTCTCAAAATTTTTCTCGATTTTTATTGGTAAAACTTATTAAACAAGCTTGACAACAACCAAAACAATCTACTAGACTTTTACACTTATTCTATAACTGTTTGCGCACGTTCCCTTTCTTCCACCGGCTATTTAATGACATTTTTTCAAAAGTCGGCAAGGCAAGACTTTGTCGCGGCGATGTTCGTCGTCTCGCGTACCCAAGCTGTGTGGCTCCCAAAATTCAAACTTTGAGTATGTAACTTACGAATTCGATAATTTTGAAGCCACAAACCACCCCTTCTGTCTTTTCTGGATGACCCGCCTACCGTCTCCCCCAAGTTGCCTTCAGATGATGCCCAACACCAACGTTGAAAAGACTTTAGAAAGAAGACTTTTCTAAAGTCTACAAAAATGATTTTTGAAAAGTGTTAGCACTTCTGAAGCGCAATAGAAGCTAGAGCATTCTTTGCTTACGTGTATCAAATTCTTCGAGCTTATTCCTAGGCATGATGACTAATTAGGAGGGCGACATGACGTAGTTGTCGAAAATGGACTTTTCCCCTGTTTGATTTTCCAAATTTGACGCTGTAAAACTTTTTCAAGTCATCTGATGTAGAAAACCGAGATGAAAGTTTTAGTAGAGAAGGCGTAGAGCTTTCAAATGCATATAAACAATTTGCAGAACATTGCGCAAAATACTGAGAAAAAATCGAAAGAAAAAATGGGACAGAACTTATTACATAACCTAATAGTTGACGATGAGCGCATAAGCGATCTCTGATGAACATAAAGATAGATACTGGGAAACAGATCCTACGAATAATCACAGCCTATGCGCCACAAGTCGGATGTAAGAATAAAAAGGACGCGTTCTGGCAAGAGCTTGATACACATCAGATCAATTCCAGTGGATGAGACACTCCTGCTAGGAGCAGACCTCAACGGACATGTGGGAGAAAGGCCCTCCGTGACATTTCCCGGCTTCCCCGGCCTCGTAGGACCGGGAAAGCCGGGAAATGTCACGGAGGTCACGGATACAGAACATGCAACAAAGAAGGTGAGCGTATCCTGGACTTCGCCTCAGCTCATGATCTGGTCTTGGCGAGCACATACTGCATCAAGAAGGATGACCACCTCATTACATATACGAGTGGCGACCAACAAACACAGACAGATTTTTGGGCTGTGTGACAACGTGACTCCAAAAACGTGAAGGACTGCAATGTCATTCCCGGTGGAAGCTGCATACCTCAAAATAAAGCACTGGTTCTCGACACCAAAATAACAATGAATGGGCCGTCAGAAGGACTACAGATACAAGGACATGCTTGATATGGCGGAGATCACACTGCTAACAACTCTACCAAGCTTACAAGACAACCCAGAGCGATAGCGGGCAAGCTTGAAAAAAGTGGGCAAGCTTTAAAAAACGAGCCCACCAAGTGGCACACATTATCCTGGAAAGTAAAAAACAGGGAAAAAGAAGGACGAACCAAGGAACATGGGTGGGAATGAAGAAGTGCAGAAACTAATAAAGGAGAAGAGGGACGCCTAAAGCGATAGCATAAGACAAAATCGGAGGACGATCGCGAGACATACCAACAAGCCAGAACGCTGCGAAGGCTTCTGTAAAGAAGGGAGAACGTGCGATGTACCGGAGAGCAAGAAGAGGAGCGGAATCCACAAAGATATGACACTTCTTCCATATCAAAGACAAGTTGGTAGGACGCTAAGAAAGCCAAAGGACATCACCGAAAGATGGGGAACCTATTTCGAAAAGATTGCCACAACAGGCCGCACCATCAACTTCATCCCAGAAGCAGTCCCATAGAAGGACCAGTATCAGCAACCACGGAAGAGGAAGTATAGCTAGGAGTAAGGAGAACAAATAATGGCAAAGCGACTGGTCCAGATGACATGCAAAGCAAGTTCCGGAAAGTAAGTGAACAATCCAGAGCCACATGGCTAACCAATTCCCTCATCAAATCATAAGGAGCAAGAGTATGCCTCGCAACCAAATCTTAAGGAGCAAGATATGCCTTGCTTCTTCCATATCGAGATCAGCACATTGATCGCAATATGGAACCAAAAGAGACGTAACAGACTGCGCATCTTACCGAACCAATCCGGTGAGCCACACTCTAAAAATTCGAGCGAATAATCAAAAATTTTCAAGCGAATAATCGAAACGCGGCTTCGAGATATCATAAAGTTGTCACTGAGTCAGTACGGATTCGTGAAAGGAGTAGGTACGACCGATGTCATCTACTCCGCTCGGCTAGTGTTGGAGAAATATAGAGGGAAGCGAAGAAATTCAGCTTCCTGGACACGGAGAAAGCCTTTGATAAGGTACACCGTGAATTCATGTGGTGGAGCTTACAGATACATAAGGTGCCAGAGAAGTACGTAGTGGATGAAGATGATTTACCGTAATGCTTCAAGTTACGTGAAATCAGCTACAGGGAATCGAAATTCCAATTTAAAGTTGGAGTACACCAATGTTCTTTTCTCTCTCTCTTCCCTTCTTCCCTTCTTCTGCTCTTCATCACTGTGATGAACGCCGTGATGGAGCCGCTTAGATGTGACTCTCCTTGACAACTCTCTACGCAGATTGTTTGATAGGAAGTACCAGAAAGGACAAGACGAGGTATAAAACTGGAAAAGAGGGCGATTTTTATGTTTTGAAGCTCAACATTAGGAAGACAGAATATATGGAAGAGTGGAAACAAACTCCAGCTACCATAAGCATCGATGGTAAAGAGCTGAAGAGACAAGCTCGTACAAGTACCTAGGCAGTCACATCTTAGCAGAAGGAAGCCTATAAGAGGAAATCGCCGGCAGTATGAACACAGCGTGGATGAAATGGATAACCTTAGAGTGCCTTCATACCGCGCCGGTAGCCGCCGCTAGCAGCCCGTAGCAGCCCGTAGCAGCCGCCAGCAGCCCGTAGCAGCCCGTAGCCGCCGCTCGCCGCTTTCGTTATATGAGCAAATTTATCAGAATCTTACAACTTTGAGTGCTCCTGTCTACGCTTTTCATCTCCTACGCTTTTCTTTTGTTGCAGCCAGTATGCAGTTTGATCACATATCATATATGTGTCCATTGTTGTTATTACCTTCCCGCCGTATGGTCATCCTGTTAAAACATAGTTTGCAGAAGATTCTTTCCGTTGTAACGCTCTGACTTTGGATGCGTCCGGTTCCTGCAGGTGTGCAATTTGTTTTTTGAGTATGCTTTTGCTTCAACTTTTCCTTGGCTGCATATCTAACTTGCATTCTATTATACTACTTCGCAAGTTCGCCGGGATTTATTTGCGGGTTGAGTTTTTCTGGCTTTGATAATCGCTCACATCTTTTTAAATAGGAGAGACTGCAAAAGAATGTGAGCGCGATAGGATACAATGTGCGGAACAGAACAATGAACACGAATGTATTGTGGGGGAGTTCAACTGCATATTAGCGGTAATAAGAAGAAATAAGCGTAGAAGATGAAAAGCGTAGCAGGAGCTCTTAAACTAGTAAGATATTGACGATTTTGCTCCTATAACAAAGGCGCCAGCGGCGGCTATGGGCTGCCACGGGCTGCCACGGGCTGCTACGGGCTGCTGGCGGCTGCTGCGGGCTGCTGGCGGCTGCTACGGGCTGCTGGCGGCTGCTACGGGCTGCTGGCGGCTGCTACGGGCTGCTAGCGGCGGTTGTCGGCGCGGTATGAAGGACCCTTAACAGCTCTGTGCGACAAAAGAAACCTGTGCAACTTGAGTCCCAACTCTACCAAACCGTTGTCTCCGCCCCAGCACAGCATGGCAGTGAATGCTGGCCATGTACGCGGAACGAGGAGCGCAAGCTCAGTGTCATGGAAACAGGATGCTACGATGGACCTTGGAGCCGCATTGAAAGATCACATTGGTGACGCTATACGAGTCCAAAGAAAGTGGCTCTAGATGACCAGAAATGCAGGAAAAAAGGCTACGATGGTATTGACATCTGCGAGAAGGGATGAAAGTCACACCACAAGGTTAGCCTTGGCTGGAGGCGCAAAAATACCCAGACTTTAGCCCAAAAAGAGGTGGATGGACAGAATTAAAGGCGACCTGCGAGAATTTGATATAGACTAGACCTTGCCTCATATAGAAAAACATGGAGAAATAAGCATAAAAAGCAGACCTCGCATAGCAGGACACACGCGAGGAGAAAAAAAAAAGATACCCAAATTTGAGCATAGTTCACACGAACAGCTAGTCACTATTGGCCATCAAAAAAGTAGGTTGCTCTTATAATACACTCTATTTTCCGGTTCATAAGCCGCACCGCCGCAGTGAACAAGCGAAGAGTCTTCTAAAAGAATGTTTTTTATCTAACAAACTGGAGACTGGCTGCATTTTGTGACTGCTCTTTATTGCGCGTTTATGTCTTCAATTATGATACTGCTGATGTTTCAACGGTGCTAATGCCTTCACAACAAAGAACGAAAAAACTTACAATCAGACTGTTTCTAAAGTAGATAGTAGTTGGCTGCTTGTGCGACTTCGCGCATCGCGACCATCAAAGCACATTAGCACAATGAAAATGATTGCGGCTCATAGCCGGAAAATAGGGTGTAGTTGATACGTTGACCGCACGGACAGGACGTCACTGCGGGGCACGCGCCGCGAGGTGAAAGCTTGCCGCAGTACAAATTCGCCATTGTACAAGTCTTGCTCTCGTGACAATTTAGCCGCGGCGCGAGTGGTCCGCATTTTTGAGCAGTCCGTGCGCTCAGCGAATCGACGATACATTTTTCTTGTTACCATTTCATAGTCCTCCCCACCCTACTGATGAGATTTAGGAAAAACCATAAAGTTTCTATAATTTTCATCTAATGTTTAGGATCAAGAGAATTGGAACTAAAAATTTCAAACCAACTTTCTAATAGTAGATTTTTGGAAAAATTAGCCCTCAACATGCGAATTGCCCTAAAGCTAATTTTTTGGAGAGCACGGCTTACATCTCGTTTCTCTGAAAGGTTTTGCCAACTCTGCCGGGCTTCAAAAAACCTTCGCGACAAGAATAATGTATCAACTCACCAAAAATTGCCGTCAGAACGGGCGGATCGGCTTCTGGCTCTTGCAAAGAATCTTCATCTTCCTCTTCTTCGTGGTCGCAAGTGGTACTCTAAATTAATTTACTGCTGCTTATTTGAACTAAGAATCATTACTAACGAAGGCAGGTGGAAGAACGTCTTCCAAGTTAACGGCCATTTGAGGACTCGGCTAAAACGCTTTCAGGAAAAACTAATCATGGACCTTAATGAGCCAAATAGCACACAGTAAACGGAGTTTTTTGAAACAATAATAATTGAACTTCTCTTTCAAAAACCCTCTGTTTCTATGGGATTGGCGGGTGGTAGTTCGAATACTGATAAGCCTGAGAAATGATTAGAGAGCACGCTAGAGAGGTGCAGAGCCCAGAACCCACCCACTCGCACTCCCAGTGCAAGGGGTACCTGGGTAATCTCTAATCTTTCCTAGTCCCGATAAAGCATGTCATTTCTCAACAAATGCTGCCAACTGGCCTGAGGCGCCCGTTTTACTAGAAATAGATCATATGATGACACATGCGTCCATTGCATTTGCGATATGATGATACATGTAAAATAGAAAGAGACGCACTTTTACTCTCGAGTTCAAGAATGCTAATAAAGCAAATAAAATAGCGGCACACAGTGCATCACTTGGTACGTAGCAAGAGGTACCCGAGCAGCCGACTGCTGCCGCAGCTAGCTGCCTGAGCTGCCGGCAAAGTCGCCGCAGATGGTACAGTAATTGCATTTGCCGTCTAATTTTCTTGCCGAGAAGTATCCTCGCACCTCGTCCCGCTGAGGTGCGATATTAGCCTCATAAAAACATGATATCCTCAATATTTATATAATCAAGCAGAAAAACCACGTTATTGACATCAATAAGGCTAAACAGGAAAGAGTTTTACTGAAGGAGATGATGACAAAATCAAATAACTGCGAATACCCAAAATAACCAGAAGATGAAAAATTCAGGAAATTTTTAGTTTTCAAAAATCTTTTTTCCCGCTTTTAACGTCGAAGAACGGACGAGAACAAGTACGCAAAATGCTATGGATATAACAGTAAGAAATGTCCGTCAAAAAAGTATTTTATGACTTAGGATGTTAACAAAGCTAAATAAGAAAAATAGGCAAATACATTGAGTGGGTCTATGATAAAATATGAAAATAAGTCAAATGTGCCACATATGCTGATAAAAAAGAGAACATCATAGTCACCAAAAAATCAAAATATCTTATTCTTGTCTCTGCAGTTACCAACAAGAATCTGAGGCTCAAGTTTACGTGGAAAAATCGTCACTTCTCCAGGTATTTGAGCAAATGAAAAAAAATCTATCTCTATGTAAACAAAGCTGAAAGTTTGTATGTCTGTGCACAATACTCATAGTCATGAAAGATAAGCGGTAAAGCTCATTTTGATCTACTGGTCATCAAGATATGGTAAAGACGGTGGGAAGCGAACATAAGACGAGTCGGAACCAAAAGGAGGTTAAGTTTCACTGCATGCGAGGTCAAGCACGATGGACTGGCTCCAAACCGGGGTTGAATCGGCATGCTTGCTCGTAAATATAATATATAAAACTCAAACACTGTAACTTTGTTTGTTAGGATGTTTGTGGCTTATAGACTCCTTCGTGTGTGAACCGTCGAGGCTGAAATTCTCTCCCCTATAGGCAAGCCACGGTGCAAAATATAGACTACTTTTTGCGACGACTCGCTGCCTTCTATCGATTTATTGATTTGTTTGAGTCTAAGAAAATGAAAGCTTATCGATGTATCGAATCATTTCCCCAGGTAAAGTAGAAGAGGGCGGTATAGACCATTTACATCTCGCGGCGAGGGCGATGCGGTTTCACGAAAAGAGGCGATCAAGGAGGAAGACAACAATACCGGGTAGCTTGCAGTACAAACCACGAGCAGGAGCAGGAAGAAAGATGAAAGAGGTTACGAGTATTAATAATGAAGGGAAAGGGACGAACTGTGAGTTAAAAGAGCTTCAATAATCATGCTATGCCGATTTACCACTGTCCGGGCCCGGACGGGGACGTCGGCTAGTAATGGAAAAAATTTGGAACCCAAAACCCGTTGCAAAAAAAGACTCAGGATCAAAAAGACCCCTAATAACCGCTCAAGGAAACCGCATTTTGATCTTTGTGTTTATGGAAAAGTGAGTTGATTTCTAATCCTTAAAATTAAAGCGTCAGTAAAAGTTACTGTATTTTGGGGTACTAACATCTCCGCCGGGCAGGGGATCGCAGCTTAGAAAGTTTTATATCCTGAAGATCCAAACTTCTGGATTTCACGCTGTCTACCTATCCCTAGGTGTTCCTACCATACCTCACTACGAACATATTGAACACGAGAGAAAAGCTGTACAATCCGCATTTTCCAGCTTTTTGTATAATCCTCTGATGATCCCCCGCAACCGAATATCTTTTCTTCAATGTCATTTTTCTCATTTCGAAGTCAACGAAAACCTTCCAAAGCTGTATGATTATCTGACCTAACGTGCTAAGCATCTGCTTATAAGAACAAATGAGTTTTTGAAATATCGTGTTTTTTTATTGATAAACCACAACTTTTAACTTGTGGTTCGTCACAAATTTCATGACTTTGAAACATCATTGTTCTTACCAGAAACATGATTAAGCCTCCCGATAAAAAGCACGCACAACTTTGGAATGTTTTTACTGACTTTGAAAAGAGAAAAATGACTCTAAAGAAAAGACAGTCGGCAGTTGAGGATCATCAGGGGACCATACAAAAAGCTGGAAAAGAAAATGCGGCTTGTACACTTCTTGATCCCGTTCCATATGTTCGTAACGAAGGATGGTGGGAATACTTACTAGTATTCCCACCATCCCTCAGTACGGGTATACAGCTTGAAATCCACATATCCGGAGCTTCAGGATAAGAAGCTTTCTTTCAAGTTGGATCCGCTCCCCAGCAGGGATGTTAGTGCATGCGATTCTTGATGTCAAAAATTGTAACTGGAAAAATCTATTTGACTTCTTATTTATTCAATTTTGCGTGTTTGTAAATTTTGGAAATCTTTTGATATAGTTTTGTATTCGATTGCATGGTTACAATAATTTTCTGCTGTTCATAAGATGTAGATATCGAGAATAACACGTTTCCCTGAGGCTGATATCGCACCTCAGCTGGACGGTGCGAGGAAACCTTTCGGCAAGCAAGAGCATCACACGACGAGCGCAATCACTGTACCATCTGCGACGGCTTTGCCGGCGGCTCCGGCAGTTGGCTGTGGCAGCAGTCGGCTGCTCGGGCACCACTTGCACGCCTCCCGATCGCACTATGTGGCCGAAAAGCGCGAGATACAGATTGGGATCACAAAGTGACCCACGACAAAAGAGCGGATCCTTCAATGCGATTTTATTACAGGAAGTGAGAACCAAACTACGGGTAAGAGTAGGGTGCTCTCAGTGCTTGTGCGCGGTATCGATATCCTTGCGGATTCTGGTGCGAAGTATGTAAAAAACGTAGCTTAATATATCCCATACGTCATTCTCGGTCTTGGCTATTTGAGACTCTACTTTGGCTTTTGCAATAGTTACGAATTGGACGTGTCTTGAGCTTCGATCTTGACGTCTGAGGTAACTCACAAGGGAAGAAAACTGAATTGAAGTTTCCACATCGAGTGTATATTGCCTTATAGAGCATGGAGCGCTGATTCCAAACCTGCTTTAGTTATCTGCAAAACGCTTTTGGCAGGTCAGTTATGGGGTTTTTATTGAAGCAAAATTCTGAACGCGCGGCTACAATAAGGTCATTCACAACTGTAGTGTCTGAGCTCGGATGAAGCCATGCACTGCCATGGCGCTTTACGCAGCGCAGTTATTGCCTCCAGCCCCATAAGCTTATGTTAATCACAACTACTCTCAAGGGCCGTAAAGACCTTAACATCTTGTTGTGGCTTGTTTAGCTGGACACCGGGATTGGTATATCCTTTATTCGACTAACGTTTCGGCGGTATCGCCTTCTTCAGAGTCTGAAATTGTCGACAATTGTCCTAATGTCCGAGAGTCGAACTTGGACAATACCTTAACATCTGTTTTTGGGTTACCAAACCCCTAAATTTTTGCCTAAAGACTTTCCATAACTCCTCTTCCAGAAGCGCTTTGCAGAAACCGAAAGCGGAATGGGGTAGTGGAATGGGGTAGTATGCGTTTCTCATAGAAACTCTACTTCGACCAAGTATCCTTTCCTTGTCAGTAACACCGAGATGTTAGCTATATATGTGAATGAGAGTCATTCCTTCGAAATAATGCCAGCAAAACCGAAAAACTGTGGTTTTGCAGCCTTTGTGCTAAAACAAGATTTTTGTGTCTAGAGATAATTGCAACGTTTCTCAACTAGCCTCTTGCCAGACTTCACGAAAGCTGTTAGACTTCAGTAAAAACAAGAAACTGCACCTACATTTTGCTCAGAGAGTCGCGCACGAAAATACCGGTTTACCTTGTTAGGGAGCAATTTTTTATTCCGGCGAGGCTAGTAAGATCTTAGCTACTCATTTTATCCTAAATCCAACGCTCATAATTCTTAGTACAAATGTTCCACATATAAGGAAATATGGAGTCAACGTTCCATAATCTTCATTATTGTATACGTTATCTGCAAAGGCCACTTCGACTAAACATGCTTTCCTTGAAAGTAAGACATCAGTCACTTACGGGGGCTAGAGTCGAGTCAGAAGCAGCGCTTACGATTCCCACATTTACGAGCTTCTTACTAATAATGGTGTATCGCAACCGATCATTCGAGTCTTCTTTCAATTTTGTGATTCCGCTGCGAACACCTAAATGTTTTGCATCAACGAAAGAAATTTTTGTAAGACCGCATACCTAAGAAGAGTAACAAGTCGCTACATCCGCATGCGATGCGAGTCACCCAGACTAGCAGGAACGCCCCTAAGTCGTTTAGAATCAGCAGCATCAATGGAATGCCAATCATTGAGTAGAATATAGTCGCTATTTGACCGGCTGTGGTGGCGCACGCAATATTACCGTAGCCTTAATAAAACTAGTACAGAATGCCCACTCAGATACTAGGAATACCTCCAGCGGGCAAATGGCGCGAGTCTGCCACCTCGCGCTTTGGAGCGCTCCGGAGCCCGCCAGAGGTATCCCTTCGACTGTCTAAGCAGAGAAAGTTTGCTCTTCATTGTTCGAGAATGCTTTACGCTTTTACCTATCGTTGTGTAAATAGTTCCGGCATACAGAAATGCCATCCAGAATGTCCAAGCAGTTTCTCTGGATGGTTCTTCCAATCCAAGATCATTTTCGAAAGTGAGAATAGCCTCCTTCCACCGTTGTTCCCTGTCTTCCTTGTTACTCTGGTGAATAGCGCGCAACCTGAATTTTGCTATTGCGATAAAACCACACAAAAAAATTTCCATTGCCACCTACTTGAGAATCATGACTTCCCTGGCGATAAGACGAGCATGGTACGCTTCCTCTTTGGCTGCAAGATCCGTAGGTATCTGATGAAGAATGTTCTGCATTTGCAAAAACCTTCGCATGAAGAGTCTTACCTCGAGCGTCATGAAGAGCCAAGCACCAAAAATGGAGTAGCAAGCGATAACGAAGAGAAGCTTGAACTTTGACAGAATGAAGCGGAACGGTTTCGTCAACAAGTGGAAGCAGCGACATCTAAGAACTCATTTTAACCAACCCAGTGAGGGACGAATCAAAATACGCAACGTTTTATGACTAAGTTAAAAATTTGAGCTTTCAACCAAAAACACATGTTAGTCGATGTGGCCTTTTAAGCTATACTATCTGCAGGACATAAAGTGATGATTCCAAATCTGCCTTCCTTATCTGCAGAAAGTTTATGGACGAAGAGTCATAAGCGCTTATTAGAGCAAAAGAATGTGCAAGTAGGATAAACATAGCCGTAATACTTTTTCTAGCTCTTCAAAGGGCAGTTATAATCACCAGAGCACTTTATTCGAAAAGTGCTCTAAGATAGAAATGAATCACACTTGATTGCATCATTTTAGGGTTAGTAAGACTTTATTTATTTATTTATTTATTTATATGCACTCAAGGTGCGCCATTAAAAAAACACAGAAATTCAAACACAAGTCTAACCAGCCACACAGTACATTCTGGTAGAACTTGTTGCCAACTGGCCAGACCTCTACAGGTATTAAGAATATAAAAAAGGTCAAGGCAAAAGAAATCACATTGAACAGTGTGATGTAGTAATATGATTCGTCTAATATTCTTAGCACTGATCAATGCATAGGAGCGCCAACAATTTATCATTAACAATATTACTCAGTGCAAATTGCTAGATAAGGTATCAATTTTAGAAAATTCAATTTTTTTCTCGGAAAGCTTTGATCTTCGCATTTAGTAATGTAGTAGTTTGCTATAATGCCCAAAATAACGGAGCATGATAAGATACCCTAGTGCGGGTAACTCACTTTCGAGTGGCACGCTTTGGTGGTAGTACCTAGGCGATATGAGTAGTCCTCTCGCACCTAGGCTTCCATTACACTACCTACCGCCTCCATTTCCTCCGTGTTTGAACAACATAAGCAAATTGAATGTGCGATCAAAGCTTCAAACAATGCAGACTAGAGTAGATATAAGAATTTGCTATATTAGGTGTTCTGCCTTGGAAAATACTTAATGCACTCAATATTTAATAAATGACGAAATTTCGGTTACTCAGAGAGGCATGGTCAGCTGCTGTAGAATCAGAAGAAAAAAGATGTAATAGTGCGACCAGCCAGCACAGCAATCACAGTACAAAAAAATCTATGCCATGTTGAAGAACTGTATGGTCATAAATAGCCTTCACAAATGTCAGATAGTCTTGCTGTATGAAACAATGATCCATATGCGATCTTCCTACGTTAGCCAAAAAGCGAAGTGAGCCATAAAACCATAAGACTGTAAATTTCGAATAAGATAGAAAACACCTGAACAATGAGAATTAACACAAATACGAATACGAATCACCTTCAATAGCTTTAGTCAGATCAAAACTTTGCAGCATTTTTTTGAAACTCGAACTACTTTTAGCCGATAACAACTTAGAAGGTAATCTTCTAAACCAGCGAGCACAGCGATAAAACAAAAAGTTGAAAAGTCCCGAATAACAGTATTTGCCAAGCCTGGGGTAATGGAGATTGAAGCCTCCCACTCTGCTACTTATTGGTCTGAACACCCAAAAATCACTAGCTGGGAGGTCAATTTCTTTACGCAAGACGCCAAAACAAAATGTTAAATCAGCAATAATTCGTCGTTGTTTTAGAGTTTTTAGCCTACTGAAATTGAGTCGTTTATCATAATCAGGAATTGATGATACTTTTCTAGAACGCAACATTCGAGAAAACACCATCCGAGTGAAAATGTGTTGGACTTTTTCAAGCTTGATAATTTCTTTCTTTCGGCACGGATTCCACACTTGAGAGCAATACTTAAGGTGTGGAATCACACAAGCTTTATATAGTCGTAAAAGAACCACAGGATCACTGGAATGGATACATCGGAATATTGCGAATAGAGTAGAGTAAGCTTTTTTGATAACGTAATCAATATGTGAAGTGAAATTCAACTGAGGATCAATATAAATGCCCAAATCTCTGACTAAGGAAGTAGCAACTAAAACAGTTCCATTCACTACATAACTACATGGGTTGGTTTTTCCTACATGTAAATAAGAACATTTATCAGAATTGAGAGAGAGGCCGTTACTCACAGCCCATCTATTTAATTTATCCAAAGCTAACTGAAGAGATGAAGAGAAAGCTGAAGCGTTGGGACAATTTTTTGCCTCTGTCTTTGCAAATAGAGGTGAAAGTCATGAGAATGGAGACGTTATTTGGTTTCCATCCTCATCATTTCCACGAATCTCCACTAGATGCAGTGACATAGTGATTTATCCCAACCATCTTTTTGAGATTCTATCGAGGCTAAAACCTCAACAACTGCTTTGTACGATGGAATTCCTCAAATTGTGTACAAGAAATGTGCCCGAGCCCTCTGCTTTCCTCTATCATATATATATAATGCATCTCTCTCAAAGGGTCAAATTCCCCAACTTTGGAATGAGGCTCTTGTTACCGCAATTCCAAAAAATTCATCTAGCAATAAATTGTCCAATTTTCGTCCCATAAGCATTACTCCGCCCTGTGGTAAAATACTAGAGAAAGTCATTAACGATAAACTGAGTGACTGGTTGCAGAAAAATCATATCATACCACAAGAACAGTATGGATTCCTGCCTGGGGGATCAACCACTGCGCTACTTTGCGATTCTGTTTTCGGTTGGATGACAGCGCTGAACCACCAGAAGTGTGTGGACATCATTTACTTTGATTTATCAACAGCCTTTGACAGAGTTAATCACAAAAAACTTCTGCTAAAACTAGAGAATGCAGGTATTCCTGGTCAGCTGCTCAGATGGTTGGAATCATACCTCAGTGAACGAAAAATGACAGTGCGCGTGAAAAACATGTATTCAGCAAAGTATTTGTGCAGCAGTGGTGTTCCACAGGGAGGAATCCTCTCACCCCTTTTGTTTTTACTTTATACAGCCGACCTGCCTTCGTTCATCAAAACCGACCCGAAAATCCATGTGCAGATTTTTGCGGATGATCTTAAAGTTTACGCTTGCTATGGAAAAGAGAAAAGAGAAGAAGCCTACGAAGCCCTTTCTTCTTCCATAGAAAGAGTGAATATGTGGTCTGAGATGTGGGATCTGCCCTTAAATCTTTCAAAATGCTCAGTTATGCACTTAGGCGACACCAGTACTCACCTCAGGTCATATATCTGTGATGGTACTGAGCTTGAGTACCGAAGCATCGTGAAAGATTTAGGCGTTTTTGTTGATGATGCTCTCAAATTTACTGCACACTATGATTCAGTCGTTACCAAGTCGCTGGCATCGCTGTTTATGCTTCTACGTAGCATTCACAGTAATGAACCTGGACTTTTCGTGCGTTTATACAAAACATATGTCTTACCGCATTTGGATTATGCTTCACCTGTTTGGAGTCCTTATTTAAAAAAGCATGTGGTGAAGCTCGGAAAAGTTCAAAAAGTTTTTACAAGGATAGTCTTCTACAGATGCTTCCCTAACCCTGAATACCCTCGTGCATTACCGTCCTACGGTGCTAGGCTTGCAGTTTTGAAACTGCATAGTTTGAAGTATAGACGTGTTGTTAACGACTTGGTGTTCTGCTTTCGTATCCTAAAACTAGAAACTAAATTACGAGCCAGTAAATACTGGATCTTTAGGCCCAGTGGAGAGCGTACAGGTGGGTTTAATTTGCACTACAGGAAACTAGGTAAAAAATGCTTTTTGCAAACTTTCAACTCGTATTTCTGTCGAACCACAAGATGGTTAAGCCTTTTACCTCAAGAAATAATTTCTAGTAATAACGCATCCTCTTTTCGCAAAAAGTTAGGATCTATAAATGTACTGGAATATTTGCATATAGCAGATGTTTAGGTTGGGTCTTCTGATCGTTCTATTCTCCTTCTACCATTGGTTCTTGCACCTGTGTTGTTAACGTTGGCGACAACGGTTCCTCGAATCAGTGTTCTTTGGTCTGCGCGGATTCAAATTCTCAATCGCCGCAATTTTTTCATACCGAGACTGAATGCCTTTTCATGTTTTCGTGTTTTTCTTAAATCCCTTTGATGTATTACTAACTTCATTGACGTCTTATGTTTGTTGGTTTTTGTTGGTTTACTAACAAAGTGGCACGCCTATGAGCGTATTAAATAAATATAAGTATAAATAACTGCAGAAAATTTTGCATTCTAATGGCATCGTTCTCATTATAGCATGCGTATAATTTGATATCATTTGCATAGATTTGTACACTGATTCCATTTACATTGAGTAGGTCAGGTAACTCTATGGTAAATATAAGGAGCAGTAGTGGGGAAAGTACGCCACCTTGTGGAACCCCACTAGTGCACTTATACTCAACAGAGAAAGATTGACCCACTCTAACCGTCATGACCCTGTCTTATAGATAAGATCGGAACCAGCACAGAAGATTACCAGAAATTCCAAATCTTTGCAGCTTTGATATCAAAACGTCATGCGGAACTTTGTCAAAGGCTTTGGAAAGATCGACATAGATAATATCGATTGACTTTCCAGAGTTCATGGCTATTCTCCAATCAAAAATACTTTTTACAAGGTTTGTGGTAGTAGATCTATTCGAGATGAATCCGTGTAAGTGAACTGGTATTCCATAATGTTTTTTGATCCAAGAAACTAGCTTATTTCTTATAATCTTCTCCATCACTTTTATTGGGGTTGAAGTAAGACTTATGGGACGAAAATCAGAGACCCTAGTAGCAACTGCCAATTTTTGGAACAGGTGTAATCATGGCTTTTTTCCAAAGGGAGGGTATCTCACAAAAGTAAATGGAAAGATTAAATAGGTCAGTAAGAGGCTGAGAAAGAGCGTCAGCGCATTTTTTGTAAATGGTCGGTGGGATGCCGCCGTAAGGCTCCGTGCAAGAGAACTTGAGAGATTTTAGAATGAGACGGACTTCAGACTCATAAAATTGTACAGAACCAAGAGTATGCTGGGCATCAGATCGAGTAGATAATGGATAAGTAACACTAAAACTTGTAAAGACACTGGCGAAATATTTCCCCAATGCTTCTG